CAATCCACTCACCTCAGCCTCCCAAAGGCGCGGGATTATAGGCTGAGCCACCGAGCCCGGCTTTGTTAGCTAATTTTTAAATCCTGCATTCAAGAAATTGATTTTTGCTCTTTTCCATCTGCATTTCTTTCATACGTAGAGTCAGATGATGAGAGAATGAAATCTTGAAAATATGTGGCCAGTGATTAATTGTTTGTAAGAGTATCTAATCTATATTTTGATTTATTGTCCAGTTGATAATTTCATGTTACTCATTTCCATTAAAAACTTTCAGTCCTAGTTAGGAAATTATGGATTTTGAAATGGAATTTGGGAATCAGTAGCAGAACTAGAAAAAGAGATTTGAAGTGACTGGCACCTATGTTAGTAGGCAAATGTGATTTAAAATGAAAAGGAAACCTTGAATTTTGTACACGTACTGAGCATATTTAAAAAGTATGATTTTTTTCTACTCTTATAGAGCATATAGGTTTAAAGAGATAGGTAGTTTTTTTGTCCTGTCTCTACAGCTTAGTGTTTGATTACATAATGTGAAATGTAAAAAAATATTTTGGATTGATGTGAAAGTCATTGAAGCTATATTGTTTTAAAAATAAATTTTAGGCCAGGTGCTGTGGCTCACGCCTATAATCCCAGCATTTTGGGAGGCCGAAGTGAGAGGATTGCCTGAGCCCATGGGTTCAAGACCAGCCTGGGCAACTTGGAGAGACCTCATCTCTACAATAAATCAAGAAAAATTAGCCGGATGGATAGCGCATGCCTGTAGTTACAGTTACTTGGAAGGCTGAGGTGGAAGGATCGCCTGAGCCTAGCATGTCGAGGCTGTGGTGGCCGTGAGCATGCCACTGCACTCTAGCCTGGGCAACAGAGTGAGACTCTGACTCAAAAAAAACCCAACTTTTTTTTATTGACCATAAATGTGGTATTAATTATATAATTTAACTTTCTGAGAGTAAGAGTAAAGAAGTTGAGAAGTGTGTATGATTAAAAAGACATCCCCTAGTTTCTCATTAGGAATCATTACAATGAGTGAACTTGATTCCTTTGGATCTTACTTTGTGTGGATAGAGCAACTTGCTGAACTTCGTCAGGAATTTCTTCGACAAGAAGACCAACTTCAGGACTATAGGAAGAACAATACTTACCTTGTGAAGAGGTTAGAATATGAAAGGTAAGATGCTACATGCAACAAATATTTATGAATCTAAAATATTTATGTAATTTTGTAAATTAATTTTTTTTCCTTTCTGACTTTTGTTTTTCTTTTCTTGTCTTTTATTTTCTTAGACCTTTTAAATTCCTTTCTGTTATCTTTCTGTGGCTCTTTGAAATCCAGATTCTTTTATTTGATGCTAAACACCATGAAAATATTTTTTACCAGGACATGTTGAGTTTGTCTGAATTGTAGGGTTCACTGTGAGACAGAAAATCTTACAAATTCTAAGTTTTATTGAATTAGATGTGACAAAGATTGAAAGAAGATTCTGTGATTATTTTTAAGGGCCATCTAGAAGATGAAGCCAGGACTCAAAAATGTCCCCAGCATAGCTGAGAGACTGAGTACTGCTCAAACCTTTACTCTTGGTGATGAGGTCAGGGAACCTCTTAGGAGCCTTTTAGCAATCACTCTTTGAAACTTTTATTATAGTTTTAATCAATTTTAAAATAAAAGGTACTTTTTAGGTCTGTACACTAAAAATTAGAAGGATTTGCCATATTTTAAAGCATTGTTTAGCCATTTCTGCCTTCTTACTGTTGTAAGTTATCAGTATGCATCTACTTGCATATATATTTTTTAACTTACAGTATTCAGTACTTTTCCATATATCTGTGTGAATAGAGATTTAGCATATTTAGAGGTAATATATTATTCTAGCATACTAATGTATCAAAACTTGTTTGGTCTCTCCCAATTTTGCGATCACTGTAGAGTTTTCCATTTATCACTATTGAGAGTATCACAGCTGTACATATTTTTATGTGAAAAAGATTACCCCCCACTTACGTTATTTCACTAGTGTATATTCTCAAATGTAGAATTCCTAAGAAAGAATGTTTTAGGTCAGGCTCGGTGGCTCAGCCTGTAATCCCAGGACTTTGGGAGGCCGAGGCAAGTGGATTGCCTGAGCCCAGGGGTTTGAGACCAGCCCAGGCAACTTGGTGAGACCTGTCTCTACAATAAATCAAAAATCACCCAGGTGTGGTAGCAGACATCTGTGGTTCTGGCTACTTGAAAGTCTGAGGCAGAGGGTTCACCGGAGCCCAGCAGGTCAACGCTGGAGTGGTTATGGGTGTGCTACTGCACTCCAGCCTGGGCGACAGAGACTCCAACTCAAAAAAAAGAAAGAATGTTTTACACATTTTGTTGCCCTTACAGCATCGGTGATAAAGATTGCTTTTAATATAATTATACTAGGGCCACCCCCTAGGGTCCCCTCCTGCTGTGGGAGCTTTTCTGTCATCTCAATACATCCTAGGCCGGGCTCGGTGACTCAGCCTGTAATCCCAGCACTTTGGGAGACCGAAGCGAGAGGATTGCCTGAGCCCGCGGGTGCAAGACCAGCTTGGGCAACTTGGAAGACCCAGTCTCTACAATAAATAAATAAATTAGTTGGACATGGCAGTGCGCACCTGTAGTTACATCTACTTGAAAGGCTGAGGTGAAAGGATCGCCAGAGCTTAGCAGGTTGACGCTGGGTGGCTGTGAGTGTGCCACTGCACTCCAGCCTAGGCGACAGAGAGAGATTCCAACTCAAAAATAAATAAATAAATAAATAAAATAAAATAATTACACTACTTTATAGTATAGATGCTTCCCCATAGTCCTACCAACTTTAGTTATAATTCTAATTTAATTTTGCTAATGTAGGCATAAGATACTGCTTTATATACATGTAGGAAGTTTAATTTTTATTTTATAATAGTGAAAGCTGACATTTTTCTATGTATTTATTAACTAAATGTTTCTTTTTGCACGAATGATCTATTTGTATCCTTTGACTACTTGCCTGCCTGAAACTCACCATTTTTTATTAGAAGTGAATAACTTTTACTCAATTATTTTTTCAATTTTTAAAATTTATTTATTATAGAATTGCGGGATACAAGTGAGGTTTTACTACATAAGTAGGCTGCATATAGGTGAAGTTTGGGCTTCTAGGTGGCCTTACTCCCTCAGGTAGTGGATCAAGTGTCCATTGTGTTGTCATGTGCCCCTCAGCCTCCTCCCTCCCTCTCATCCTAGCAGTGCCCAATGAGTGCTGTTTCAACCCTTGTGCAGCTGTGATTAGTGAACAGGGCCCACTTAAGAGTAGAATATGTGATATTTTGTTCTTTGTTAATCGTGCATTCACCTAGTATGATGGTCTCCAACTGTATCCAAGTTACTGTGAAGGCCATGATTTCATTCTGCTTTATGACTGCATAATACTCGATCTAGTATAGGTACCACATTTTCTTTATCCAGGCCACTTTTGATGAGCAGCAGGATTGGTTACATGTTTTTGCTATCGTGAATAGTGTGGCAATAAACATGCATGTGCAGATGTCTTTGGTAGGGAGATTAATATGTTCCTCCAGGTATATTCTTGGGAGAGGGATTTGCTAGATCATGTGCAAGATCAATTCTTAGTTCTTTGAGAAATCGTCACACTGGTTTCTATAGAGGTTGAACTAGCTTACATTCCGAACAATGGTGTAGTAGTGTTCTCTTTTCTCTGCAGCCATGCCAGCTCCTGTGTTGTTGTTGTTGTTTTTTACTTAACAATAGCCGTCCTTACCAGAGTTATATGATATCTCATTGTAGATTTGATTTGCATTTTTTTTTTTAATTTTTAAATTTTATTTTAAAGATGTGGGGTACAATTCAAGATTAGGTATACAAGTGATCATCGTACAGCAAAAGTTTGGGCCTCCCTTTGGTCTCTACTTTGCCTGGTTTGAGATCAGGTACCCTTATGGATATGTCCTCCCCACACCCACACTGATAGTATTATGCTATTGCCAATCCCTTTCTTTATTATAGTAAATGTTCAGGGTCCACTTATGAGTGAGAACATGTGATACTCTGGTCTTTGTTTCTGTGATAGATCACTGAGTATGATAGACTCTAAATCCATCCTAGTTGTTGTGTAGTACATATGTTTGTCCTTTATGACTGCGTAATATTCCATTGTATATATGCATCACATTTTTAAAATCTAGTCCAGTTTCGATCGGCAGCATTGTTGGTTCCATGTTTTTGCAGGTATCTTTTTATTTATTTATTTATTTATTTTGAGTTGGAGTCTTACTCTGTTGCCCCGGGTGGAGTGCAATGGCATGCTTATGGCCACTGCAGCCTCGAACTGCTGGACTTGGGTGATCCTTCCACCTCAGCCTTCCAGGTAGCTGGAACCATAGGCATGTGCCACCATGGCTGGCTGATTTTTTTTATTTATTGTAGAGATGAGGTTGCTCAGGCTGGTCTCAAATCCCTGAGCTCAGGTAATTCTCTTGCTTCCACCTCCCAAAGTGTGGAATTACAGGCGTGAGCCACCACGCCTGGCACCGGTATCTTTTTTGTAGAATGATTTGAGTTCTTCTGGGTATATTCTCAGTACGGGATTGCTGGGTCATATGGAAAGTCAATGTCTAATTCTTTTAGAAATTGCCACACTGGTTTCCAAAGAGGTTGCACTAGTAAAGTCACCATTTTTATCTGTTTTGCTTCTGTTCATTTTCTCTTAATGGCACCAGTCTTCTTTATTAATGTCTTCCATTCCTATTTTTTTATTTGGTTAATGCTTTTATTACAGTGTTTAAAGTACTTCCTACTGGACAGATTATCTGCTGCCACTCCTTATCAATTGTCATAATTCTAGCTTTTCTCATCTATTACTGTAAATTTGTCTCACGGTTTTCTTTAGTCTTTTTCTCTTTTGTAATTAAAGTTGACTTTGACAATTGTTTCTTTATAGATGCAATTTATAAAAATAATAGGAAAAGAATTATTTTTGTCTTTTAATTTCTATTTTCTAAATTAGCTTTATCAGAATTCTTTATTCCCCATTGAAATTTCAAATATTTTAAACATTTTGTCTGTGAGCTATTTGTCTGTTCTTTGGCCTTCCCTGCCCACTCTCTTCTGCTAGCTGAATGTTTTAACTTTCTAAAGGTATGTGTCAACTTCTAAACAACTTTGAGACTCCAACCCAGGATAATATAAACTGAAAGAATGATTTTGTAATTTAGCTTTCAGTGTGGACAGCAGATCAAGGAATTAAGAGCACAGCATGAAGAAAATATTAAAAAGTTAGCAGACCAGTTTTTACAGGAACAAAAGGTAAATATCAGTATACTCAAATCCAAATACATTTTTGTTTATAAATCATAGGAATTTAGAAATTAAAATTTAACTTTCATAAGAAACATATTTTTAAATGTTCTAGCCTGCCTAATTCCAAAAATGATTTTCAGTGACTTTTTTGCTGAGTAAATTAGACATTTGCAAAAATACAACCTCAATTTTTAAAACAAATTTAAAACTGAAATATATCTGATTCTTAAAAATAATTTTTGTTGTTAACATGTTTCTTAGATTGTAAAGGGAGTAGCATTTTACTAAAAATCACTTTCATTTTTATGCAATTGAGAAACTTTTTCCTTTATTGTCAATCTGTTACTCTGACACCTTTTCTTAAAACACAGAAATGAGATACCAGCTACTATAACCAGTTTGATTGATACATTTTGGGTGTCAGATTCTTTTATTAATTTGTCAATTTTAAGTTAATATATATTTTGAAATAAAAGAAATTCATCTGAAGATTAGTAGTCATTGAGGACATGATTCTTTTTTTTATACTTAGTAATCTCACCTGACTAGGCATGGTTTATATGAAGTCTTGTGATTTAAAGTAAAGAGAGATTTAATAGTGAAAAAGTATTTGTTTTGCTCTTTGATAGCATCTCATCTAAAGGTCTAGAAGTTAAGGATATCAGGTTTTTTGTTCTTAGCTTTTTTATGATTTTATAGAAGGTTATTGAAGGTATCATTTTTCTCTCTATTTCATTTTTTGAATTTGCAAAATGGAATAGATGCTGCCTATCTGCTGTCTGCTTTAAAGAGATGTGAGGATGGGCCGGGCTTGGTGGCTCAGCCTGTAATCCCAGCACTTTGGGAGGCCGAGGCAAGTGGATTGCCTGAGCCCATGGGTTTGAGATCAGCCTGGGCAACTTGGCGAGACCTCGTCTCTACAATAAAAAAAAAATTAGCCAGATGTGGTAGCATGCGCATATAGTTCCAGCTACTTTGAAGGCTGAGGCAGAACGATTGCCAGAGCCCAGCAGGTCGATGCTGGGGTGACCGTGAGTGTGCCACTATACTCCAACCTGGGCAACGGAGTGAGACTCCAACTCAAAAGAAAAAAAAAAGAGACGTGAGGATGGATTGGTGGAAGAAGGTGGGCCTGAGTGCACTACCATAGTGGAAGCATTGAGGGCAACCAGAAGACACTGGAGGGTTAAAAGGACATAGTAGAACACAAAAGGAAGGGAAAGAGAGAGTTGCTATTGCAATTGTGTTTGTATGAGCCTAGTATATAAATAATGGGTTAAATTTGCTCTTTTCTGTTTTCCCAAGATGAGAGCTTTCCCTTTTTTCCAGGTCAGTATAGTTCTCTCTTTCTGCTTTTCTATACTGTGTTATTTTTATTGAGCCTATGGTATGTGTTTTAAAAGATGAACTATTTCAGAACATTTAATTGTTATGACAATGATTTAACAATTTGAACTAAAAAATATTTATTGTTACCAAATCTTTATCTAACAGCAAGAGTCCCACAAGGTTCAATCAAATGATGGAAAAGAATTAGGTATAAGCGATCAAGGAGTACCTAAAAATATTCCAAAAGTAGCTGAGAATGTTGCAGATAAGAAAGAAGAACCCTTAAGCAATCATATTCCACATGGGAAAGGTATTATTTTTATTTTGTTTTATTAATAGAGTAGTGACTTTTTCTTCCCATTTTGAAGTCAACATTTTTTAAGCATAAAGAAAAATTTTGATTTTAGTTTAGATATGATTACTGTCTGTATTGTTTCAAATTTGAATCTTTTGGTAGAAGAGAAAAAAGAATAAGTTGTTTTACAATTACAACTATGCACAAAGTAAGATATAAAGATGTTCAATTGGCACAGCATATTGCTTTAAAAACTGATTATTACATTCTTTCAAACATTTTGAATTTATATAAGAAAAAATAATAGAATTATATTTTTGTTATTTGGGCAGAACCAATCAAACGAAGTAGTGATGCAGGGATGCCGGGAATAGAAGAGAATGACCTAGCAAAAATTGATGATCTTCCCACTGGTAAGTAAAAACTATTAGAGAATTCAGCTAAAGTGATTGTATTATTTTTCATATGACCCTATTCTCTTTTTGGATAGCACTTGGAAAAGCCACAGATATCTGGATGGTTGATATTTCTAGTTAATTAGTCACCCATAATTGCCAAGACTTTTTTGGGCTATAACTTTTATCAATTTTTTTTGCTACAATGTATAAAATATTTGTTTTTTGCTTTTATAAGAGTCAGCCATATTTGAATCTTTTCTTGATGACTCAGGGTTATTGCTCATGACTGTTGTGCTATGTTAGAATTATTTATGTTTACTAAAAGCACACAATGACTCTTTTCTTTCCTACTCAATATCCTGCCCAGATAGCTTTGTTGTTGTTATGCCTTATTTTTTTTATTTTTATTTTTGAGTTGGCATCTTACTTTGTTGCCCAGGCTGGAGTGCAGTGGCATATTCATGGACTCACCATAGCCTCAACCTCCTGGTCTCAGGCTTTTTTCCATCTCAACTCCTGAGTAGCTGTGACTGCTGGTGTGCACCACCACATCCGGCTATTTTAAAAATTTTTTTGTAGAGACAGGTCTTGCCATGTCGCCTAGGCTGACCTCTAACTCATGGGTTGAAGCAGTCCTCCTGCCATGGCCACCGAAAGTACTGGGATTACAGATATGAGCCATCACGCCCAGCCTTGTTTGTATGCTATAATATAGCATAGTAATACCCTTGTGGGAATTATTTAGGTTTTAGAGTTTGGCTTGTCCTTTCAGTGCATTCCCCCATTCCTTTGGATGATTTGTTCACTATTTTTTCTTTTTCTTCTTTTATGGCTACTTCTGTTCATCATATATCTTTCATTAATGTATCTATTTCTTATTCATTTTACTTGAAATACTGATCCCATTTGCTGCTATCCTAATCTCATTCATTTTTTATGTCTCTTTTTCCTTGCTATTTCTTTTTTTAATTTTTATTTTTGTATTTTTCTCATTTAAAAAAATTTATTTTTAATTTCAATAGCTTTGGGTGGTACAAATAGTTTTGATCTGAGCTTTATAAGTATACCTACCACCTCCATGTGTGCACATGGTACCTGATAGGTGATTTTTCTGAGTCACCAGTGTCTATTATGGCCTTCTATATCTTTGCATATCCTTAGTTTAGCTCCCACTTAGAAGTGAGAACATGTGGTGTTTGGTTTTCTGTTCCTGAGTTAGCTCACTTAGGATAAAGTTCTCCAGTTCCATCCAAGTTGCTGTAAAAGACATTATTTTATTTTTGATAGCTGAATAATAGTATTTCATGGTGTACATATACTACACTTTCATTTTCTACTGATCAGTTGACAGGTATTTGGGTTGATTCCACATTTTTGCAATTGTGAATTATTCTGCAATGAATATGCGTACTATTAATGGTAAACCTCCATAGACTCCAATTTATTATGGTGGAAAAAATCAGCATATCTTTGCCTCTTCTTGGCTCTTTTTATTTCTTCTCAATTACTTCTAAGACTATTGCTAGTTGTACCTTAGTGAAATTGCTGAGTGCTTGAGTCCAAAGGAGTGAAGTATTGGTCCATTCATTTGTATAGTTTTGTCATCTTCTCAAATTCTTTCATATTCTTGTGGGTTTCCAACAAATAGCATATTCCCCTAAAATAAAGGTAAGGACAAGAGCAATAACATGAATTTGAAAACAGAGCTCGAATGAGTAAGATTTGTCTATAAGGCAGTGAAGTAATCCAATGATTTTTTTTTTTAGATTGGAAAATATAGTTTATTTAGAAAGTAAATTAGAGAGAGGAGAGAGGAGATCGACAGAGAGAGAGAGAGAGAGAGAGAGAGAGACTCACCTCTCCATGGTAGGGGAGGGAGCCAAAGCTAAGAAACATGGTGGCAGTAACTCAGAGAACCCTGTAGACATACCAGAGTTTGACAAAGCAATGGCCCAGTGATTCTTAAAGTGTGGTCTCTGAGGCTGGGCACTGTGGCTCATGCCTATAATCCCAGCACTTTGGGAGGCCGAGGTGAGAGGATTGCCTGAGCCCAGGGGTTCAAGACCAACCTGGGCAACTTGGTGAGTCCTCATCTCTACAATAAATCAAGAAAAATTAACTGGGGATGGTGATGCATGTCTGTAGTTCCAGCTACTTGGAAGACTGAGGCAGAAGAATCACCAAGCCCAGCAGGTCGAGGCTACAGTGGCTATGAGCATGCCACTGCACTTCAGCCTGGGTGACAGAGTGAGACTCTGGCTCAAAAAAAAAAAAAAAAAAAAAGGTGTTATCTCTGGACCAACTTGATCAGCATTACTCCGGAACTTGTTAGAAATGCAGATTTTTATGTCCCATTCCAGACCTATTGAATTATAAATTTTGGGGATGGGACCTAGAAGAGGCTTATTATCTCTCCTTAACAAGCCTCTTCTAGTGATTTTCATCTGTGCTAAACTTTGAGAACCACTGATGTAGATGTTAACTTACAGAAATGTTCAGACCAGGGACTTCATTAATCTTATGAACTTTTGAGCACTTACTCTAGTCCTAGACACCCTGAGTTTTTAGTAAGTTAAGTTTTATATTCACTCTCTTTTTTTTACATTGCCCTTATGTATTTTTAAAGCTACACTCTAAGTTTTGCCAAGAATATACTGCAAATTTCTGGTATATAGAAGCTCTGTATTTAGTTATGAGCAAGGGTTGGCTATGTGCTTCTGTGCATTTATTTTTCATGTAATATGTCTACAAAAATATATTGTTTATATTTAAATATATAATCTTTAACCTCTGTTATTTTTCTCCACATACTTTTCAAGCTACAATCTCTACTCTAAATGTATAATGTCCTAATTTATTTTCTCATTGATCATAGTTTATTACCCAGCAACCAGGAAATTCCAGGGTAAAGTGAAAGAGAAATACAAGAGATCTTAGAGATCTTGTCTTGACCACTGTTAATTATATTGTCCTCATACCTAATGGTCAGCGGTTCTCTTTTTTTTTTTTTTTTTAAAGAGTTGGAGTCTTACTCCGTCGCCAAGGCTGGAGTGCAGTGGCATGCTCACTGCCACCCCAGTGCTCACCTGCTGAGCTCAGGCGATCCTTCTGCCTCAGCCTTCCAAATAGCCAGAACTGAAGGCACGCACTGCCACACCCAGCTAATTATGATTTATTGTAGTGATGAGGTCTCACCAAGTTTTCCAGGCTGTTCGACAGTGGTTTTCAAATGTCTTTCATATATGAACCACGTCAGTAGGACAAAAATCTTATCTTGCCTCTTTTACTTCTTTTTTTTTTTTGAAACAGGGTCTCCCTCTGTTGCCCAGGCTAGAGTGCAGTGGTGTGATCATAGCTTACTGCAACCTCGATCTCCTGGGCTCAAGTAATCCTCTCACCTCAGCCTTCTGAGTTGCTGAATTACCTAGTACTATAGGCATGTGCCACAGTGCCTAGCTAATTTTTATTTTTTAATTTTTTGTAGAGACAGGTCTTGCTTTGTTTTAATTTTTTGTAGAGACAGGTCTTGCTGGTCTTAAACTCCTGGCTCCAAGCAATCCTCCTGCCTTGGCTTCCCAAAGTGCTGGGATTCTAGGTGAGAGCCACTTCTGTTTCCTTAATAGGAAAAAAAGTATACAACCATTTTATTAGAATTGATAAGAATGAACAATGCTACTTTTGATGAGATGCCAAAAAATTCATATCTGATTTTTATAATATGAACATGCCATATTAGCTCACATAATGGTTACAGTGGTATAGTTTGGAACTACATGAAAAGTATGTATACATTTTATGTAAATGTAGCATTAATGTCAAAAACATCTTTGTCTACATTGTCATGACATATTAGAGGCCTTCTTCTGTATTAATTTTTGAACCTCTTTTAACCATTGATGCTTTGCTTTTATAATCATTTTTTATAGCAGTTATTCTTAATTATTTGGGAAAGTATTTTGAGTATAAATTTTTATATATATATATACCTGGTAAAAGGAAACTTTGAAGTGTGTTTTCATTCAGATGCAAACACAAAGGAAAGCCACATTCTATCTTTGTACCTTTAGCTCCCTACATGCTGCCTTATATATACTAGGGTCCCAGTATATGTGTATAGTTGAATTACCAGGCTATCTTTAATAGTGAGGCAATCGTCTGGTAGAGTCAAATTGCCTAGATTCAAACACTTGACTCTATCTTTTAACTATTATGTAACCACTTATTTGCCCTTATCCTTATCTATAAAATACAATAATAACAATTCCAACCTCACAGGACTGTGAAATTTAAATGTAAAGTACTTAATGCCTAGCACATGATAAATGGTATTAAATCTTAGTGTCTGTTATTAAGTTGATTATTTTATATCATTATAAACCCCATTTGTTATCTCCTTGCCACTCCTTTTCCTGAGTGTTGTCTTTTCTTCCTGAAGTAGTCTATGACAGAATTCTTAATGTCAGTGCAAGTTCTGATGTGTCTGGAGTGTTCAGTTGGCTATAGAGGCAGTAATCCCAAAGAAGAAGCAGAGAAAAGAACACATCCTTGTAATTTTGAAACAGATTTTTATGTATTAATGACAGTTTTGTTAAAGATAGCCAGGACCAAACTAGAAATTACAGCAGAGCAGTGTTGCATTATTTTTAAATATAGCTCTGAAGCAGTGAACAGATTTAGAGCTTGTCCAAGATTGGTATTATATTTCAGTTTTTTAGTTCTCAATGCCATGGAGCTGACCCTTACTGGGTTTTGTTTGTCTGTTTGTTTTTAATAAAAATTTGGAGCTAAGTCACCAAGTTTTTTTGTTTGTTTGTTTGTTTTGAGTTGAAGTCTCACTCTGTCACCCAGACTGGAGTGCAATGGCCGCTCCCGGCCACTGCAGCCTCAACCTGCTGGGCTCCGGCGATCCTTCCGCCTCAGCCTTCCAAGTAACTGGAACTACAGGTGCGCGCTACCACACCCAGCTAATTTTTGATTTATTGTAGAGATGAGGTCTTGCCAAGTTGCCCAGGCAG